ACGATCTTTCACCAGACTTTTTCCTGTCGTGAACGTCTTTGCTTACAGTTTGCGTGTTGAGTTTTAATGGAGCACACTTGATTGAGGATTGGCCGTCCTTTTGTGAATAATTATCAAGACTTACAGACTTGATTGGTTTAAGCTTGACGGTGGTACGTCTGTCCAAGTTGTTTTTAAGCTGTTTTAGAGGTTTTAAATCAGACGCTTTTCTGAAGCCGAAAATCTCATTCGGAATCACCGCGTCTTTCACGTCACTCCCAACGTTACTGTTTGTACAGGCATCACTTGTTGGATGATCTTTTAATCTTGACTTCTTGTGAAGAGGAACATCGTCCAACCACCAGAAATCCTTTTTGATAAAATAAAAACAAAAATGAATAAATAAATAATAATGATAAATAAAAAAAAAAAAAGAAAAATTCAATGTGAATCCTTAGTCAATCATAATGATTCTAAGTCCATAAAATAAGTCAATGCTGTGACGAATTTGGTAACCTTTCCTTTTCAGCGTTTCGTTCCTCCTTCGAAGGAAGAAAAAAACCTTAATTCTGTTTACTTGCACAAAGAACTAACATGTAAAACGTCAAGTTTTCGCTTTCCAAATGCGAGCACGGCAACCCGTTCACATTTGATGATTGTTTTTCTCGTAATCTCTACTTGAGGCTGTACTGAAATGATTGCCTTTTGGTCTGTGCTGGTCAGTGCTAATTATGCAAATTGCAGACAAACCTCTGAGGCAGTTCTCTTTTGGCTGTTAGCAGGGATTTTTTCACCATCATCTGCTTGCAGTTCCTCTTTGACTTCACTCTTATCACTGAAAATAAAATGTATAACAATACTCTTGCACGTATAAAGAGATAAAGTCACAATCAACCAACAACACAGAAATACTTACTTGTTCTCAAAGAAGTACTTTATTGTCGGAATCACCCTTGGAATGGGAATCTGCAAGAGTAAATTGAAAAGAAAAATCTGGATCACAAATTAGCGCTTGGCTGTAACATAAAGAGACACAGCACTCTTTTTCTGATTTTACCCTGTTCCCAGGCCACCATGTATTTCGACACGGTCCATTCGTTTCGGGTCACATGGTGCGCCCTGGTAAAGTCACCGAAACGAATCACCGCCACTAAAGATTGTTACCTTTGTTTGTTTAAATTCCTTTTAAAACCCAAGAAATTCGAAATACCTTCAATGGTGGATTAGCTGCAGCAGGTTCTTTTGTTATTCTGTGGTTTGATTTCTACATTGAAAGAGCGGCACAGAATCCGCATTAGTACTCGATATAAACGTACGTATTCACCATCCCTGAGCNTTGATCGAACTCAATCCATGGATTGAGTTCAATGGGGGGTTCGATTGCCTATGCCGGGTGAAATCACGTCTAGTCGCCTTGAAACAAAATAAACACACGCCTGGTCAATGTCCTGCAGGGCATCTCTTGAGACTGAGGCTGTAGTGGATGTTGCTGTGCTGTTTTGTGAAGCTCTCTTCCAAACAAAAACGCTGCCACTACTGGTGCTTGACTTCACCTCGCCAACCTACAATAACAGGGAAATATTAACATTTGAAGGGCCTTCATTTAGCAATATTTGTTGAGCAACAATCTTTTCATGGTGGCTTGCCCCGACTGGCGCAGAGCGACGCCAGAAAATTAAAAAAAAAAACCTCTCCTCTCAAGTCTCCCGAGCATCCAACCTTTAATTTTCTAAAGACAGAACTTTCTTCCTTAGTTTAATACTAAACGTCTGGTTAGCTTGAGCAGGTGCGGCAAGAACCAAGTTTAAGGGTACCTCGCGATGAAGCATTCCAGATGCAATATATGCCCCTTCACGCCGTCTGCAAATTGTACCCTATAGCTAATTTTACACCTGTTACACACGCTAAGGTCCAGCTGGAATTTGCGCTAGCATTACCCCGCGTGGCAGGCGTAAACTATACCAGCGTCGATACCTACTCTCAATTCCTAACGCTAATTAGTTGGCATTCACGTTCTGTTTTTGTTCAGGCTATTTTGTAAAAAGATGATCACGGACTTGTCAATCTTCAAAAACGTTGCCACAAACGTCAAGACACGACCCATATATAGATAGACACCTTTATTTAAAAGTAAAAATCTATAGGTAAATTTTAATCCACACTTTAACCCATTTAACCCATACTAGCTACCAATACCCGTCAACTTCTAAAAAATAAAAAAAAGTATATATTTCGTCTAGCGCAAGTTAGGAGCCAGGAAGGGAATCTCTTGATCACCTTTTTCAGCATAGCAGTCTTGTAACCGATGTCTGTCTTGCTGTTCGTGAAGATACTATGCTCGATATCGATTGATGTGGACTCCATGTCAAACAGCAACCTAAACGTGACCACAAACAAACAAACAGAGAAAATGTCACGCAGGTTGAAATCAAATTATTTCACCACAAAAATCTTGTGTGTTAAGAAAATCGATTGTGCGAACGGCTTTTGTGAAAGAGGATAGCTGAGCACTCCACTATCGCCTTTACTATTGTTGTCACGTAATGGGTCTTCTCCAAAGCGTTGCGTGACGAACCATGTAACGGAGGCAAAGGATCAAACAGTAGACTGTTCACAGCCCTCTATTTTCTCATTTTGTTATTCGATCATTGAACGCGCGGATAGAGTTGTGAGAGAACTGGACGCCAGCGCAAAACGGAAGAGGGGGTGCGTAAATAGAGAGGCTGTGAACAGTCTAATAAAATAGCAAAGGATTTTCCCCGATTGGGCAAGTTTCGTTTGCTCCTCAAGGAAACCATAAGAGCATATCTGGCTAAAAAAAGAAACAAATCTTAAGTTTTCTTCTTAACCATTTAGAGCCACTGTTCTTACCTCGCAGTTTCTTCTGTCTTAGCACACTGATTTATGTTTGATTTAAGCGCTTCCTCCAACAGACCGAAACAGTGTTCCCTTACCTAAAAAGAAAGATAGGCATGCAACACGTGCTCAGATTTAAAAATATGAATCGACCTTTGCCACTAGCTTTTTCACAGACTTCCACAGAAAACGGCGATTTCTTCCTTGATAGAGAAGATCACTCCAAAACGCTTACTTTTCTGCCTTCAACTATAGCAAGTAAACATTCAGCTTTTTCACTCACCGAAGTTACAGCAAGAAATTCGTCTCGAAAGAAGCCCAAAATTCTACTTCAGAAGCCGTCATTTTGAAACTGTACTTGGCAGCCAGGCCGTGTTTATGTGACGTCATGCCGTCCGACTCCAAATTGGCGGGAAGCAGAAAAACCTGCAACTGACTTTGCATCCTTCACTATCTTCACTGCTATCATTTTTGGAGTTAGGAGCATGCTTGGCTCAAAATAATACGGCTCAAGAGCAGCCATAATCTAGAATGGTGGCTAAAAGGCTTGTCAGAAACCATTTGGACAAAATCTCTTGAACTGAATGACGTATTAACGAAAACGTGGCCTGGCTGCTGAGTACTGTTCAAAATGGCGGCAACGATGTTGAATTTTGGGCTTGTTTGGAGACAACTTCTTAAGGAAAACCTGCACTTTAGAGGCTGAAACATCGGTGAGTGGCTAAACCTACTGCGAGATCTTTATTATGTTAACAATCCCAACCCATTACAACAGAAAGCGTCCTCTATTTTGACGAGATTAACAGTATAGGGGGATTTATGCTGACGTCATTGTTTACATTTTTGCTCATTTGCATACGGCTTAGCGTACCGAAGGAAACATGTCAGATATGAACTGACTCCAGGCAGCTAAAGAGCTAGTGAAACTCGATACATGGTGAAATTTTTACCTCTTTGGGTGTGATATTCAAGGACATGTTGTCTTTCAAAAAATGCAGCATTTCTGGGTGGCAAAAGCGCTAATGAGCTCATACATTCGTTGTAAAAGTTTGAGTTTTTAAACTCGTGTTGCACAAAAAGTATTCAATACATCAGGCTCATATTCATTGGCAGAGTTAATCGTACTATGACCTTTCAATATTCAGAACTGATTTATTTGTAGTTCCATCAAAAACTGAATTGCTTATGCTAATGAGGCAAATATTGTAAAAAAAGATTTCCCTATTCTATCGATCAAGGACTACTAAATAGAGGGGATTTGTGTGACAAAAGATTAGATGACAGTGTGACATATTCACCGTGCAATAGTCGCATTCCTACCTTGATGGCAAGCTTTGGGATATGCAAATAATTTGCAGCTTCTTTGAGGCGACAGTTGGGACCTAATAAGAAAGTAGATAGTATTAGACCTGTTAACCGGCCTCAAATAAAACCGAAAAAAGGTAGAACCAGAGGGAAAAGTCGCATCGTTATCACTGAATATCAGCTGCTATTAATCTGCTTCAGAGCTAACAATACTCTCTTCTGTCGCTTGTAACATTTAGTTTTGCCAAACCTTGTAAAACGTTTCCGAGGAGCTGCGGTAAGAACAAAAATAATATTTTATCTCGCAAAAGTATTCACTATTAAACTCACCAGGTAACTGCGGAGCTGGTGGACAAGTCAGTGATTGCTTTCCCTGCACAAGATAAGAAGAGAACAAATGTTATTAGCCAAGAGACTCTGATGAGCGTTGCAAAATTCTACATTTTATTCAAATCAGGAAACCCTTGAATGCTTATTTACACAATGGCCAAGAAACGCGATAATTTCTCGCCTAGGTGAAGATGGAGATCAGTGGTATTTACTGAGCGGGGAATTTGAAGTGTTCACGATCTAACTCCACATAAAAACGTTTAAAAGAGAATCAACTAAAACCGTGAAATAGCTTTAAATTTGAAGAATCGGCCAAAAATATTTTTAAAAATATGCTGAAATGGAAAATTTCAGAAACTTTCTTTCATTGATCATTACCACAAAAATGTTGCGAAATATATAGAACAACGTGTCCGTGAATTAATTCCTTGCAATACTGGCTACGACAGCCGTGTTTAGTTAAATCGTTTCTTCTATGTTTTGTGCGAGCAAAAGGGACGATGAGTTCCAGTTTCTCGCTGTCAATCAATAAAAAAAACATGAGGTTACATGTGCAAAGCCATGTGCTCATGACTGCTTGGCATATGCCGTCACGAATATCGCGGGCTCGGATTCCCGCCAGAAAGTGTGCAAATACTTCGTTACGATTTAAAAAAAAAAAGACTCATTAACTTATAGATGGCAAAACTTACAAAAAAAAATTCATTACATGGTAAATATAATAGTGATTCCCACCTTGCGTCGTTTCTTAAACTCGTCCGCAATCAATTTGCATCGGAAAGCTCGCTCTTCCCCAGAACCCCCTTCTCTGTCATCCTCGTCATCGTAATCATCTTCATATACCCTGGAAATACAGACAATCCAATCACCATCACGCGTGTAATTTCACCCCACGCGCGGTCGCCTCCCTCGATCTCGCGAGAAATGAAGAAGAGAGCGTGTCGTAGCCTACGGAGCAGGTGTTTAAACGGGGAATGGGGAGGCAAAGGAGGGGGACTATGTCTCCTCAAGCCCGATATCGGCCCCGATATCTAATCATTTCATTGAAGAGCGCTCCCACACCTGTTCGCGCTCAATCAGCGACAAACTTAAGTGATTCCTAGTCAAAACTGCTTCACATTATATTTCAGTTCTGTTCTGTTACCGTAATCCCACAGGTTTTCCTTCCCCTCTATTCTCAATAAAATTTGAGCCATCCTTTCCTTGCAGCAAAAAAAAAAATACAAAGAAAACGTTTGGAACTATGCAACTGCAAAGAATTTCTTTTGAGGCTATGCACGTGTGTAGTACATCTAGATTGTCTTACTTTCTCTCGTATCCCCATTTCCCTCCTCCATAAAGTTCATCATTCTCTCCACTCGACAGGCTGTGTGCAATGTAAGTTCTTCCCGCTGTCACGCTTCTGTTGTGACCTGCCGTCACGCCACGCCGCCAGTGCTCCACAAGCTCGTCAACTGCGTCAGGATCTTTACAGTAGTCACAGCCTTGGGTGCACTAAGAGAAGAGAGAGAAAAGACTTACTGCGATTTGTTACTCGTGCGGGCAATCAAGAGAAGGTCACAATAGGAAGAAGGGCCCTGGCCAATAAGAGTGTAGAAGGTTTACTATTTCTGACCACGAACAAAGTAATTTTGCTAATTTCCCATTTAGTTTTATTTCAGTACGAGCGTATTTTAGGGATACCACAAAACGTACGACATACCTGAAAGAAATGTCAAATGATATGTTTAATTTTGAACACGTATGTGGGGAGTAAGAAAACCCTTTTTAGCTTGTAGCGTTGCTTATGGAAGTGAAACACATAGCATTCAGGAAAACAGCAATGTTCTATCCTTAAAGCTACACTGAGGTCACATAGCTAACGAAAATGATGGTAAAGATTGAAAAGGACTTGTACTGTGAACATACCTTAGGTGTGCTGTCTCCAAAATACGAAGCTATTGCGGCGTGTCTACAGCTGCAATGGTCCACACAATAATGACGTCAAATTACTTAACAATATCAATAGTTTCCCTCAATCTGTTAGACAACAATATCTTTCTGTCGAAGGAGCAAACATTAAAAGATGCAGATAACTTGTTAACTTACCGGGGTTCTTCACAGTATTTCACAATCGCCTCATAACTGGACTGAATAGCCTCATTCTTCCTTCCACTGGACACTGCGCCCTGGAAAACATGAATAAACATGACATCAAGTCTACACGATGCCTCGAGTACTTTCATGTCGAATATTTTGGGTAACGCTGAATTGTTTTGCTCCTTACAACTCCCAACCCACCCTCCCCACCCCCTCCTCCTTAAAGAACATTAAGTCGATTTAGAGAGGGTGTCATTATGAAAATCAACTGATGATGTGCCTCTTCTCTCTAAACATCGTAATTTTATTTGAGCACTAGTTCTGGAGTTTTCCACATCTCATCTCACTGATTTCTGACACGCTTCTCGATCATACCACTGAAATCCTGAGTTTTCCACCTGCCAAGAAGACCGTAAATTGACTCGAAAATCGGCAGGTTCAAGAACTTGAGGGTAAATTTCTCCCAACTTTCTTGCAAAGAGAAAAAAAAATTGCTTCGAATAATCTGGGAGTTTCAGAAATCGGGATACCACTATCGTTGAATTTACTGCTGGCCACTTCTCTTTACTTCAAAATCGCTTCACGTCTTTATCACGATAATTCATGTTTTGTGAGGGAACTGAAGGTAGCTTAGGACATCGTTGTTTATCGTTTCTTTGACTGCATCATTTGATCGACATAAAGTCGATCTCAGTAAGTGTGATCTACACGAATCACTTCCCACAAATTCGTGCGCACGCGCAGCACAAGCGCACCGTTGTTTAGTCCTTTGAATAACCAGCTTATAACAGCTACAACTTAATCTATGTTTTTTTGTCGATATCCTGCCTTCCTCTCTTGCTAAAATCAACATCTCATTTATTTTGAACAGTCGCTGAGCGTCAAAACTTTTTTAGACTGATGTAAAAAATCTATCGACATGTCAAACGTTTCGGAAGCTATCAAAACAAGTTGTAAAAATCATTAACAATATATCAGCCGCCTCGCGCAAAGGTGTCATTTGATGTAATTAGGCCCCATCCAAACTACG